TGCCCAGCGGTTGTGCCAGTCAGTGCCCAGCAGTTGCGCCAGTAAATGCCTAGCAGTGCCGCCAGTCAGTGCCCAGCAGTGATGCCAGTCAGTGCCACCTATCAGTGCTGTATATCAGTGCCACCTATCAGTGCCGCCTCTCCGTGACACCTCATTAGTGCTGCCTATCAGTGCCGCCTATCAGTGCCCATCAGTGCTGCCTGTAAATGCCCATCAGTGCTGCCTCATCAACGCACATCAATGAAGGAGAAAAATTACCTGTTTGAAAAATTTTATAATAGAAACAAAGAAACTTTTTTTTTTCAAATTTTTTGCACTTTTTTTGTTTGTAGTGCAAAAAGTGAAGTGCCCAGTGGCAATTAAATACCACCAAAAGAAAGCTCTATTTGTGAGAAAAAAATTATAAAAATTTCATATGGGTACAATCTTGCATGATCTCGCAATTGTCAATGAAAGTGCGACAGCGCTGAAAGCTGAAAATTGGCCTGGTAAAGAAGGGGGTATAAGTGCCCGGTAGGCAAGTGGTTAATTGAGAAGTTCATGGCTGTCTGGTGAGTTCTCTGTGATGGTGGTTGTACACGCAGGTGGAGTGGAACACAAGAATCAGGAAGTGGTGGATTTTGCATGAAACACTTTATTTCACGTTGTTATATTATTTCACGTTGTGGAAGAACGGTTGCACTTTATGGATGATGGACTAATTTCTAGAATATACAGTATATGTAGTCTCTTCTTACAAACATTATTGAGTTATAATAATAGGAGTCACATGTGGACATTTGTTGGTTTGCATCATATTTATAGGAATCACATGTAGACATTTATTGTTTTGCACTTTATTTAATGTTGCACGTTTTATGTAAGCACTGTATATTTTGGTTTATATTTATTATTACACATTATTGTGTATATCACAGCAGCTAACGGGGGGTCAATAGACCGCAGGTGTTTTGGTTATAAGTGTAGAGCAATATCGCACATGTCTAGGACCTAGAGAAAGTTTGAGTGCAGTGCAAGACAGCCAGAAGTACCCCCAATATCTCTAGCTTGGGTCGAGAGCAGCTAGGTGCCGTGCAATACAGCCAGGTGCTGCATCTACAATTTTGATTTTTGGAAGCTTTTGTTCACTTTACATGCTGTGTCATCATTACAATTAGTGTGCAGCTCAGTTTGAAACAGTCTTAAGCAGCCAGAAACTTTAGCAGGTCCTCAACCATTTGTAAAGAGTTTGCAGCATTTCATCAGTTTGGCGCATGCCATGTATCCCTAACCGCTATCCAAGTTCTACCCAAAAACAAAATAAAAACCAAAACCCCTACACTGTTTTCTAGAGCCATTTGGAGTGTGTGGAAAATTCCTGTTCCCTGTGGGTTTTGTAGCAGGGGTAGGCAACCTGTGTCTCTCTAGCTGTTGTGGAACTACATTTCCCATGAGACATTGCAACATTACAAAACTGACAGTTACAGCTATGACTTGCAGAGGCATGATGGAACTTGTAGTCCTGCAACAGCTGGAGAGCCGCAGGTTGCCTATCCCTGGAGGGGAAAAATCCTGCAATCCAATGGTTCTTTCAGGGGTAGCACTACATCTCTAATTGTTTTTAGGTCACCCTTGTGTGGTATGGATACTTGGGCATTCTTTTGTTTACTGGGTACATAAGAGGAATGGTTTGGGAGGATTTCATTTTTGAGTTTAATAGATTGCATTTATGTTGGCCTGCACCTGATTTACTAATTATCCACCTAGGAGGAAATTACATTTGTCAGCAGAAAAACTTGGAAATTATTTTTAATAAGAAAAATATGATTCAGCGTCTCAAAATGGCTTCTCCTCAAACCATCGCATTGTTCTCCGAAATAATTCCTAGATTATGATGGCTTGAGTCTTAACTTTGAGGCCTTTTGACAAGGTTAGACAGAGGATTAGCAGGGGTATTGAGAAATTCATATCATCTGGTTTAGGTATATCATTTAAACATTCTGAGCTAGAGGGAAGTATTCTGGGTCTCTACAGAGATGACAGAAATTGGCCTTGACATACTTAATTTGGATTTGCAAACATGCATTGAATTGACCATGAGCTGGGGGTCCTGGTAAGTCATGACAGGTGGGATGTTTGCAACATCCCACCTGTCGTTTGGGGGGACAGTTTTTATATAGTTTGTGTGGAAGATGTTATATATATTTCAGCTTGAGTCTTAGTGGTTAAGCTGGAATTAAGTTAAATACTTTATTTATTATATTTGTGAAAATCAATAATAAAGGCAGCGACCAAATTTCATCCAATTCAAATTGTTGGTTATTATTATGTTTGGTTTTCTTTCCTTGCTGTCTACAGTACCATGTAATATATTGCAGCTTACCAGTCCTCCCATATGATGGCTGCATTTGTTTCGTTTTTAAACTTTTTTCCAAAAAGGACCAAATGGGGGAAATTCATTGCTAGGGCTTGCATACCCTCTAGTAATATATTAAGTACAGTAACATTGTTCCTGGAATGTAAAAATCCCATAAACTATAGATTAGCTATAGCAGTTAATATGTATAAGAAAACAGCAACTATTTAAACTGACTGGTTCAAGAGGTGTGCTTTCAGCACTCCCAAGTTCACAGTCTATTTTTGATTGTCTAAAAAAAAAATGAATCACTTATCCAAAATAGTCTGCTAGATGTCAGATAGGGGATTTTTTTTTTTTTAGTTTGCGGAGAGATAGAATGGCTGTAGCACATCATAACTCAACAGAGTTACAGAAGCCCATACTGTGTTCACAGTTCCAGTTGCAGGGATCACGGTTACCACTTAATTCTGGCAGATTGCTATCCTATTCGTATCTCTCTGTACATACGGTAGAAGAGGAGCAGTGGTATGGTCTTTGGACATGATGAGGAGGAGGATGACAGAAGCTGATACATGTGACCTAAAACTGGTCTTCTCTGTGATTGATTGTTACTCATACATAAAGATTAGAAACTTAGTCAGAGACTGGGATCAGCCTGCGTTTTTAAGTGCACTTTACAATTTTTTGGATGTTTTGTGCGCATAGACAGTGCCACCAGTAAGAGGGGACATCGCCTCATCTTTCTCGACTGCAAATGATTGTCCAGAAGAAGGTGGCTCTAAAGTATGGGTTAGAGTACCCCTACATTTCCAGAGGCCAACATGGCCAAGATCGAAAAGAGAAGGCAGGGATGGTGTCATGAGGAGGTTTGGGAGTACCTCAGCATCCCAAGACCCTGCTGGAACCCAGGCTCCCTAAATTTCTGAAAGACTTTACTATATATTAGAGAAAGCTGGAGTATAAGACACATTCATCTACAAAGACTAAATAGTTAGTTATCTGTAGAGCTGGACACAGAGACCAAGAGTGGTCCATCAATAGCTGTGGTCCAAACGGAAGGATGGTCCAGGTACCTGACCAAAACTATCAAAACTTTGGTAGCTAAGATTGTTCCTTTTACTGATGTTATGCCCAGAAGGGCAATTACCACAGTTTGCTGTCCATCACCACCTTTTATAGCAACTGAACCCGATGGTTGTGGTTGATTTTTGTCATTTTTTTCATCTCCGGTGATATTTTTTCAGGCCTTCTTTGATTCATAGAGCCAGCTCCTCAAAGAAAAAAGAAAGAGGGGAATACCCTTTCTTTTTCTTGTAATCATTCACAAACTTTTGTGCTTATTCTTGATGCAGTTAACTAATAGTTAGAAACATTTGCTAGACTGGATGTATTTTTTTTTTCTAGGTCAGCTGATTCTGTCCATGGGTCAAGAGTTGAAATGTTTAAAATGTAATGTGCTACCTTACAATAAATTAGTTATTGCACTGTTTACTTTTTTTGGGACACTAGGTGGCAGTGCAGTAGCAAAGATGGTCTATGGACTTTAAACGCTAAACCTCAGGACTATACAGTGCACTATGTTTAGTAAAGTGATTAACTGGAGAACCATCTCGGCAGAGATGATGCTCCAAACACTGGATTGTAATGTTTATGCTATTCTGTTCTCTTGTAGTAGAAGAATGATAAAATATCTGCACTTAAGATGAAGACTAATACATTGTTTATTAATGCACTAACCATTTGTGGTTAGTTAGTGGTGGGGCTGTACCTCAGATAGGCTGTGTTATACAATGTCACTTTGTAAATGAATCTGTCGCATGGTGGCACATTGCCAAGTGGCAGTCTCATTGTCAGATGTGAATCAACTGTTATAGTAGTTTACAAAGTCTTTTATGTGGAATGCCACATATGTTGCTGGAAAATGTTTCCCTTCTCTATTCCTTATTGGAACAGAATTTCCACTCTTGGGAACAAGAGATCTTTTTGATTTCCTGGCCCATGAGTACAGAGTTGCAATTCAGATCTTACACAAGATGCTCCCATGAATGAAGGTAAGTATAAGTGAGAATGCACACTGGCCTAGAGGCAGGGCATGTTTTAGCAGGCTGATGAAGGGGAGGAATTCCATGAAACATGTCCCACCCTGGGACACATGCAGAAGTGTGAGATACTCTCTGAACCGCAGCATGCACTGCAGTCTGGACTGTTACTCCAGAACATCTCTGGATGTTTGTGTTTGGTTAGTGCCCTATTACAAAGACAAACACATTTTTAACGAATTCCAAGCAATTTAAAAATACTGTATGTAAAACACTGCCTAAGTAGTAGGTATTTAAAAAAATCTTTTTTGAATACAAATAAAAAGAAAGAAGCATTAAAATTGTGTTTTCACAAGAGTTTATACATTTCAATATATAATTTTATTTAGACTGTTTATCACCAAACTGATAATAAGTTGATCCATTTTTTAAAACTTTTTTCTTCCACTATGATAGTTGTTGTTCATATGTAACAAAGCAGAACTTGAAATAACAGCATGTGCTAGTAAAAAGAAAATACAAAAACAGGTACAGTCCATATCTCAGTTATGGTTATTATACCAGTTCTGTAAAATACAGTGAGTACATTATTTACTTAGCAGATTCAATATTTATTGCTACAGCTAACTACTACTTTCTTTGCTGCACCAACAGAGTGGAAAGGTTCCACAGCACAGTTGCAGTCTTGGGTCCCAAATGTTTTTTAGCCCATAGAGCTGTTGAGGCACTGGATGCAATGTTGAGTTATGATGCGCTACAGCCAGCTGTATTTTCTGTATAACATCCCCATAGACCACAGAAACATTGGACAGAGGATTCCCCTCAAAAGGATCACTGGAAAGGTTGAAAAGTAATGGCTGAATGTGGTGTATAACATTTTGTCCAATGCAGGGACAAAGTTTTGAATCATAGCATGCGTTTGCTCCTTCTCGGAATTTCGGAGAAATATAGTGGACTTTCCAAGTGGTATTACCTATTGGCAAATACGAAAAAAACATTAGATTGCAAAATGAATCCAAAATCACCAAATCAACCTAATTATTTCAGAATTCTGTGCAAGAACCTTGTAAGAGCTTACTGTGCTATTATTTAAGTTGAAGACACACTGCTTTTATTCAATCTGATGTCATGTACACAAAGACTAGACAATTTAATGAAGTATTATGCAAAGATGCAATAACCCTCCTAGCTGAGAATAATTGATTAGTGGTAACTGATTTGCCTGTGACTGATGAATAAGCTGCAAACATCAGTTTTTCCCAGTTTTTCATACTATGGCATATCACAGTATATGATACTATCATTTATCTGTAGTCTATCTACCAACATAGGTTTAGAACAGAAGTTTTTAAACTTTTTAATCTGAGGACCCAAATTTGTTACTTTAATGGCACCTTGACAGTACCGTAAAAATGACTGGGCAGCTCTTTAGTCACCTGGATCACTTTTACTGGATAGCCAGAAACTGTCGTAACAAAACAGTACCAAGCCTTTTTTAACCACTTGATCACTGGAAGGTTTTAAACCCTTCATGACCAAGACATTTTTTGCTATTCAGCACTGTGCTTCTTTAACTGGCAATTGCTTGGTCATGCAATACTATACTTAAATTGAATTTATACCTTTTTATTCCAAACAAATAGAGCTTTCTTTTGGTGGTAGTTACTCACTACTGGGTTTTTTAATTTTTTCTATATAAATTAAAAAATGATGAAAAATGTAAAAAAAAACCCCACTTGTTTCTGTTATATAATTTTGCAAACAAATAACCTTTCTTCATAAGTGTAGGTCAACATGTAGTCTGCTACATTTCTTTGGTAAAAATAACCCAAATCAGTGTATATTATTTATTCTGTGTAACCCTAGGTTCATACTCGTGCGGGTTTGCCGCCTGTGATTGCTCAGGCATGGCAGCCCATTCATTTGAATGGGCTGCTGTGCGTGCATTCCCTGCAAAAAAAAGTGCTTGCACCATTTTAAAAGTGCGGCTACAGGGAAATTGCATGGTGCTTTTGCACCATACAAGTTCCCACCGGCAAATGCTCTTCTGGTTGAGTTGCGTAGGAGTGTCATTAAGAATGAATGGCAGCCCCGCACGTCTTTACAGGACAGTGCATTTTGGATGCGGGTGGTTGCAGGTACAGAAAGAGCTGTGATTCATGCAACCACTCTGCACAGTGTGAACCTTGCCTGAAAGTTATAGCATAAACAAATTAGGGTACATACAGTATATTTGAAAATTGATCAATCCATATGTACTGATGCCCTATCTCCTAAAATGCCAGGGCAGTACAAATGCCACCTAGGCAACCCATTTTTTGAAAAGTAGACAATCCAAGGTATTTAGTAAGAGGTACAGAAAGTTTTTTGAAGTTGTTATTTTGTGTAACAGCGTCATCAAATTACTGGTGTGGCAGCGATCAGGGATACTGACTGGTAGCAGTACAGTATGTAAAAAAGAAAATAAATACATTTTTATTCAGTTTTTTAAACTTATTTTTACACATTTTTCTTTACATGCTGACAACGTAGGGCTACCCTATCGGGGGGTATTTGAGTTTTGTTTTCTTATATTGTGATTGCAGTAATGATCACTGTAACAGCAATGAACTGTCAGTAATAACTTTCATTTATGACTTATTGTTTACTGTTGTGATTGGCCCACAGCTATAATATGGTACAGGGTGCTGTGATTGGCCTACGTACAATGTGATAGTTGTGGGCCAATCACAACATTGCAGTTGTAAGCAAGCGGTCATGAATAAAAGCCATTCATGACAGTTTTGTTTACATGTAATAATGTGATCACTATTTCTATACTATTTTTCATGTTAGCTCTCCTATCAGTCTCATTGGATGCTCACTTGAATGTCTACATTCTGTGCATTTAGCAGAACATACACATGGGTAATACCCTTTCTCTTATGGCTGCTGACAACAGCACAATGAGCTCCTCACAACTTGGGACCATTCTAATGACTAATAATATTAATTATTAACCAATTCTTTTTGTTGGAATACAGCGTTCATGTATTTTGTGCAACAACTACATCAGTATTCAGTAGTGATATATTTTTCTACCAGTAGATGGCAGTGTTTATAAGTTTGTATCTGCATCTATGGTACTGTATACTGTTCTGTATTCCCACCATTGTGTTGAGTAGGGAGTCATCTATTGGAAATTCACTGCAATTGCAGCCTATTGTTTTCCGAAACAGAAAGTTTCACTCACACAGCCCAGTTCCAGTTTAGCTTCCAGAAGAACACACCAGTGAAGGCTTCCCTTCACCCTTTGATACACATATGCTCTTTCATTGTGTTTGTAAAAATGTTATATATATATAATTATCTAGATGGCATCTCAATATATTTAGTGGGATATGTAGGTAACTGTTTGTAAGAAATGTGTGCACTGCATTTGTAAGAGACATGTCTACAATCATATTGTAACTTCAGTTTGTGTGATTGTATTGCAGTTTTACAGAACTATTCACAGAAGTAAATTCAGTTTTGATATGAAACACAATGCTGCTTCTGTCAGTTTTGTTAGCTAGCTGTTGGCTACCCATTTGTAGGACAGCACAGTAAAAAAGAGAGGAGAAGATAGAGAAGCTTCACAGTAAAAAGGCATCTGTATACAGGCACAGATAAGGAGCTTCATTTGAGATTGAAAGAATCCATTTGAAAACTGTATTTGGGACTGTTTTCTAATTCATACCTCTTGGATCCAGATAGGAGTATGGACATTCCGCATCACACTTCAGAGACCAGGTTTCACATGTCTGGCTCCAGATATTCAATGCATTCCAGCAGATCATCAGCCAGTTCTGCAGGCCTCAGAGTGAAAGCAAAGGCAGGAGCAACATGAGAAGAGGCTTCATTCACTCAAAAAGAAGCTGACTTTATGAGGAAGAAAGCAAAGTTAGAAGCCACCTCCTTAAGGCAGAAAGCCGAGTTAGAAGCCAACTCCTTGAGGCAGAAAGCAGAGCTAGAAGCTAGTATGCATGTGCTGCAGACTCAAAGAGCAGCATCAGTAGTATCAGTTGAAGCTGTGGCATACAAAACTGCAATTGGTTTGGAAGGAGATCCGCTCCAAGATTTTGAGGAAATAGCCATTCATGATTCAGTGCAAAGGACTCAGGAATATGTACAGAACCATGCTCCAGAACAAGTTACAAAAGAGTATGCTTCTGGCAAGTCTATCTCCAACATATTCCCACAGTTTCCAGAATTGACATACCGACAGCCCTCTCCAGATATGCCTGTACTGTCTCCCGCTTTTCGCATTAACTCCATGGAGGCAGTGGAGGAGAAAAACACCTGGCAGAGATATATTATATATATATATAAAGCTTTGTGACCCGCAAGGGTCGAATGTGGAAGGTGAGGGGGCACTTTGGCTATTATTGAGGGGAGTCACGTCAAGATTTTCACGAAGAGCACAATTGCAGTATGGAGTGACGTCATTTGAACACTTTTTATGATTTTGCACAGTGTGGCATCACAATTGATTTTGAATTAATATTTTATTTAATTGTTTTATTTAATTGGATATAAGTATCACTTTGCACAGCTCAAGAGGTATTAGTTGTTTATCACTATACCACCAGGGACGTATAATCCATATATGGGGATATTGCACTAGTTTTTTCATTTATATTGATTATTTTTTTGTATATTTGCACAGCTTAAGAATTGTTCATCACTATACCACCAGGGACGTATAATTCATATGTGGGGATATTGCACCATTTTTTTCATTTATATTGATTATTGAGTTTGCATATTTGGAATTTATTTAGGTATTTGATAATTTTCACTTCTATTTAAGTTGAGCGCTTCACCATTTATATAATTTTGACTTCCCTACAATGTCTGACAAAGATAACCTAAGGTTAAGAGAATTTGGTGACATGTTAGTCGAGGTCAATACAGGCAGGACCAAAGGCCACTTACCATGATTGGGATACCTAGAAACAGCAAGTGGGATTAAACCAATCATTTAAAAGCTCCCGTGCAGTCTGAAGAATAAGTGGATTTATCCAGGTTCACATTTACAAGGAAGATCATCATCTCTCCTTCCCACCATGCATTTTCTTCACCAAGTTTATTGTCAACCAAGCAAAGACTAGAAATGAGTCTTTGACCATGACCAAGCAGAACTTGCCCCACCACTGAAACAGGGTGAAGAGGGTTGGTACCTACCAATCTTTGGTGTCTATCACCCCCCAAATCCAGGGCAGATCAGAGTAGTTTTTGATTCTAGTGCTAAGTATGACGGCATCCCATTGAATATTTCTTAGTGGTCCAGATTTGAATAGTACCCTGCTAGGTGTCCTGTTTCTGCAGAGAGCAAATCGCAATTACCAATGATATGTAGCAAATGTGTTACTGTTTCGTGCTTAGAGAAGATCACCGTAACTACTGGAGGTTCCTTTGACTTCAAGATAATGACCTCAACAAAGAAATTACAGAGTTCTGGATGAAAGTACATGGCTTTGGAAATAGTCCATCACTTTCCAAAGCCATTTATAGTCTAAGACAAATATCTAAGCAGGGAGCAAGTGAGTATGGAGAAGATGTAAAACAGTTCATCTTAAGAAATTTCTACGTAGATGATGGACTTATTTCTGTGCCTACTAAAGCTGAAGCGGTCAGTCTCCTGTACAAAGCTAGGGCGATACTTGCAGGATCTAACCTTAAGCTACACAAGTTGGCATCCAATAGAAACTCAGTAATGGATGTAATGGATTCCTGCAGATAACAGAGCTAAGGAGTTAAAAGAACTTGTTCTTGGTGTCAATCCTCTGCCCATTCAATGGAATTTAGGAGTAATTTGGAATCTCCAGACCAACAGTTTTACCTTTCAAGTGTCCAGAGAGGTGAAGCCATGCATACAGAGAGGTATCCTAGCCCTAGTAGACAGTCTTTATGACCCACTCGGGTTTGCACCCCAATCACGATGCAAGGAAAAGCCTTAGAGAACTCTCAATAGATCAATGTGACTGGGACTCTCCACTCTCGCCACAAAGAGAAACTCAATGGAGAATGTGGACAGAAGACTTGATTCATCTTGAAGATCTCAGTATTCCCAGACCCTGTGTACCAGCGTTGCTAACATCTACAGTGCAAACAGAAGTATGTGTCTTTTCTGATGCTTCTGCTGTGGATAGCAGCTGTAGCATATCTCACGGTCATAGACAGTAATAATCAATATCATGTAGGCTTTATTGTGGGCAAATCTAAACTAGCTCCAAGACCATCCCACACAGTACCACTTTTTTTGTTATGTGCAGCTGTTTTGTCAGTTAACAGAAGTGATTCTTGCAGAAATGTGCTTTGAGCCCAATGCTGTTAAATACTACATTGACAGCAAAATTGTGTTAGGCTATATTCAGAATACCTCTAGAAGATTGTATGTGTATATCTCAAACAGGAAAATCCACTGAGCCCGATCAGTGGCATTATGTTATCAATAGTTAGAACCCAGCAGATCACAGTACCATACTAATTCAAGCAGCTCACCTGAAACTTACCAAATAGATCTCAAGGCTAGATTTTTTTACATCATTTAGATACAAGAGAGCCACCTGAAGCCAAGTGAATGGAGGGAAAGAGAAAATAATATGATCCTGCTGCTGATGTTCCCTGGACTGAAGAAGTGTTCTATGTTTTTTCATGAGTTTGGAGTGGAGAACTAAGAGAGGAGAAGGAATAAGGAGTTTGCCAGGAAGGATATACCACTGAGGTGGAAACAGCTCTGCGGCCCTGTGAGGGTCAAGGAGGGGAGGTGAGCAGGCATTGCTGCCATTCGGAGGATTTATTTTACACCTAGAAGTGGAGAACACGAGTGGTTTTAAAAGCACAGAGTCACATGCATGGACTATTTTTTTTTTTTCACCTATGATGTATATATAATGTGTGCAAATTAGGCACGGAATTTTAGTGGTTAATTGATATACTATATGAGTTTTTATTCACTTGTATATTCACTCTTAATTTGATTTGTGGAGTCTTTTTGATTATATGCATTGCAAAATAGTATTTTTCACAGTGTGTGTTAATTCACTATTTTAAATAAGTTTGGTTGCACCATCTTTCTTCCTCCATTAGAGGGAGACATTAGTGTATATTATACAGAGTTGTCACATATTATTATGATATTTAATATAATTTTTGAAGGTACTTTTTATTTTATATTATTTTTTATTAATGTAAGCGCCTCACTATTTTTCTTTTTTTAACCATACTAATTCAAGCAGCTCACCTGAAACTTACCAAATAGATCTCAAGGCTAGATTTTTTACATCATTTAGATACAAGAGAGCCACCTGAAGCCAAGGTATTTGACCCTATTGAACCAAATTCTGACAGTGAGATCAGACCTGAAATGACATCCTTGGCAACTAAAGTGCATGAACACCAGTTAGGCTTACATAGATGTCTCAGATTCTCAAGCTGGAAATCTTAGTTGACAGGTGTAGCAACACCTATTCACATCAATAAATCCTTTTCAAGCAGCACTCAAAAAGATTTATGTAAAGGTTGGCATTATTGCAAAAAGTGATGTTGTCCATCAGATATCTTGCAAGCAGAAATGGTCATTATCAAATGTGTCCAATAAGAGATATTTTTGGAAGAGATAAAGAGGTTGATTTACTAAAGGCAAATATGCTGTGCACTGCAAGTGCACTGAAAGTGCAGCTGCTCTAGATCTTAGGATAACATGCAAGGAAAATAAAAAAACAGCATTTTTGCTTGCTCATGATTGGATGAAAAATATCAGCAGAACTTTGCCTCTTTTCAGAGCTTCCCCTCAGATCTAAAGTAACTGCACTTGCAGGTGTGCTTGTGGTGCACTTGCAGTGCACAGTATATTTACCTTTATTAAAGTAATCCCATTGTCTTTATTGAAGGAAGAAAAAAACAGTCGATTGTTGCATGAAGTCCTTACTACGTTATCGACTGAAGTTACAGCTGTAATGAATGCTAGGCCAGAAATTCTTACACCAGCAATGCTCTTGACTCAAAAGGCTTGTGCAGTAGTAGCAACACCTAGTGAGTTCACTTTAAAAGATCTTTACAAGTGCCAGTGGAAGCAGGTTTAGAACCTTGCTTAGACCTTTTGAAAATGCTGGAAGTAAGAGTATTTGACATCCCTCCAAACAAGAAGAAAGAGGAGAAGCAAAATGTACAAGTAGGAGACCTTGTTTTGTTGAAAGACCCTCCATCAAAGTGCTCTGTATGGCCAATGGGTCTCAATATAAAAGACAATCCCAGAGGTGATGGTAAAGATTGCAAAGTAGAGGAGAAAATCATCAATCAGGGGACCGCTAAAGAATACCTCCAACCTGTCTCAGATTTAGTAGTCCCTTTCCAGAAAAATATCTACCTAGTTACATTTTACAGTAATTGAAATATATATATATATGTATGTATGTATGTATGTATGTGTGTGTGTATATATATATATATATATATGTATAGTAGTGGTATGTATTTATACCAGGTGCAGAGTGTTCTGTATTCTCATCATTATGTTGAGTAGGGAGCCATCTATAGGGCATTCACTGCAATTACAGTCTATTCTTTTCTGAAGCAGGAACCAGGAAGTTTTGCTCACACATCAGTCCAATTTCAGTTTAGCATCCAGAAGAACTTACCAGCGAAGACTTCCCTTCTCCGTTTGATACACATATGCCTGTAAGTGCTTTCATTGTGTTTGTCATATATATATATCTAGATGGCATATTTAATGTGTTTTGTAGGAAGCTGTTTGTAGGACATATTCATTGTATGCATTTGTAAGAAATGTGTAACTTTAGTTTATGTGATTGTATTGCAGTTTTACCGAACTGTTCACAGAAGTAAATTCAGTTTTGTTAGCTAGCTGTTGTCTAACTATTAGCAGGACAGCACATATACACTGTGGGGTTGATCCACCAAACTGAAGAGTGCAAAATCTGTTGCAGCTCTGTATAGAAACCAATCAGCTTTCAGGTTTTATTGCCAAAACTTTCTTGAGAAAGCTGAAGTTAAAAGCTGATTGACTACCATGCACAGCTGCACCAAATTTTGCAGTCTCCAGTTTTAGTAAATCAACCCCAATGTTTTTTCACTGAAATGAAGTTTCCTGTTAGCAGTAATGCAAGCAGAAAAGCACATGTGGGCTGTGCACTGCTCTGCTCTGTAGGGCTATATACAGAATCTCTAACACTTTTAGAGACTATTCCTTATGTGCAAAAAAAAAGGGTTCTTAAAGTGGAGGTCTGGTCAAAAACTGTAGCTGCTGACTTAAAAAAAAAAAAAAAAACAGCCACTCACCTGTCCCTTGATCCCGCGGTGTCCTCACAATGGCCGGGTTGACCGACCATCCTGTGTCTCCAGCACCGGCATCTTCAGCGTGGGCACCTGGCTGTGACAGCTTGCTGCTGTGCTTTGTGAATGGTCCCTGTAGACTTCTGGGACCTGGCATGTGTCTCAGAAGACTATCGGGAGGGTGGGGGGGAGGACAACTTCTGCTTTCGATCACTTAGGTGATCGCAGCGGAAGTGGGAGCAGGGGACGAAGCCTTAAAGCGGAACTTCCCCTTTTGGGTGGAGCTCCGCTTTAATAGAGTTTGGAGGTTTTGAACTAGGTAAAGCAAAATTTTTTTAGGGCAATGGATAACCTCCAAACAATTACTTCGTCAGATTTTTTTAAATAAACAGTTTTGATCATTCTGTTGACACCCTCTATACCCTTTCCAGTGAACCTACCATCACTGACAAACAGCACTCAGTGGTTTGTTATAGTAAGGCTTACCCTTCCTCCCTATCTACAACCTCCCTAATAGGGCCAAACTACTTCCTGGGATGAGCCCTGCAATACACGTCTTCAACAATTGGCACTTTCTCATGCCATGCCCAAGGGCACACCTCATGAAAAAGGCTGCAATTTATTTATTTTATTATTTTTTTCTACAGGTACTTATATAGCACCATCAATTTACGCAGCGCTTTACATATATATTGTAAATTCACATCAGTCCCTAACCCTCAAGGGGCGTACAATCTAAAGTCCCTAACTCATGTGCATACATACACACATACTAGGGCCAATTTAAACAGGATCCAGTTAACCTACCAGCATGTCTTTGAATTGTTGGAGGAAACCGGAGTACCCGGAGGAAACCCACGTAGGCACAGGGAGAACATGCAAACTCCAGGAATATGGTGCCATGGTTGGGATTTGAACCAACGACCCTAGTACTGCCAGGCAGAAGTGTGATCCATTCCATCTCCTGAACTCTCAAAGTTGATCCTGCATGCATTTACAGGACACAGACATACAATAAATGGTGCTTTAAGTTCTCCCTACTTGAAATAAGTGGAAAGGCAAAAAGAAAATAATCCAGGGTTTGTCATGTTTAACATGACTGTCATATGCCTTTAATTGTTCCTTATATTTTGTCTCTGCTCCTCCCTTTCCTTTGGTTTAGTTCATGCTGTATAGCTAGCTCCACCCTTTTGTTAATTTTTCCAAGTAATGCATTTCAGCTTCAAGCCTCATGTAATATGAAGAAGATCACATTATAATCTTTTGACCTATCCGATGTTCATTGTTGTAAGATTCTCTCAGTTTATGGAATAAACTTCACAATATCTACAAGGTGTCGTCTGAATCGAGTCACTGCCCATGTTATTCAACTAAGATTGGAGTTATTGCCATCTCATCACAACTGTAAGTTACAGAGATCACAGTTTCAATGCATAGATTGGAGAGACAGAACAGAGTGTTAGCTGCATAAATAGATAAGAAGTTAATTTTCTTGTAAATTATTTATTGTATTTTACTTACTGTTTGTGTCTTGCCATCGTACTGCATGCAAGTACTCATTACAATAATGAAACATGAACTCATGTTCAGAATTAGGTGCAGTTCCTTGCACCAGAGGCATTAGATCTTTTCCATCAATAATCCTAGAATTAAGGAAAAAAAATAACTCACTACATAAAGAAACAAAAGCTAAAAACTAGCATGCACTGTCATAAATAAGAGCATGACTTTAAATGTACCTAAGACAGCAACAGTTGCAGAAGCATTGTGGTATCCACATGCAGCGCCATCCCTAGGGTTGATGTCACCCGGTGCAGTAACACGTGATGTCACCCCTCCAGAGAGGAAGGAGTGGTGCCAGTGTAGTGGTAAAATGAGTATCCCAACCTGTGAATTATTATTATTATACAGGATTTATATAGCGCCAGTGGTTTGCTCAGCGCTTTACATTATAGCGGGAGACAATACAGTAACAATACAGTTCGATACAAGAGGGATTTGAGGGCCCTGCTCCTTGGAGCTTTCAATCTAGGAGGGCGGGGTGAATGGTACAGTAGGTAGTCACTGTGGGGGATGGAGTGGTTGGCAGAGTAGAGGATTCCAGAATTAGCAGAGGGCGGGATAGGCTTCCCTGAAGATAAAGGTTTTCAGTGATAGCCGAAAGGCAAGTAAAGTAGGTGATAATCTGATAGATTGGGGTAGGGAGTTCCAGAGGATGGGTGACGCCCTGGAGAAGTCTTGGAGGCGAGCATGGAAGGAGGAGACAAGGGAGCTAGAGAGTAAGAAGTCTTGCGAGGAGCGGAGTGTACGGTTTGAGTGATATTTAGAGATAAGATTGGTTATGTAAGTTGGGGGGCAGTGTTGTGGATGGCTTTATATGTCATTGTTAGAGTTTTGAATTTTATCCGTTGGGCAACTGGGAGCCAATGGAGGGATTGACAGAGAGGGGAGGTGGATACGAACGGTTAGTGAGGTGGATGAGTCTGGCAGCAGCGTTCATGATAGACTGGAGGGGGGATAGTCTACGATGAGGAGGGAGTTACAGTAGTCGAGGCGTGATATGACAAGGGAGTGAATAAGTTGCTTAGTGGTTTCCAGGGTTAGGAATGGTCGTATCTTGGAGATGTTGCAGAGGTGTCTACATGATTTTGACAGCAATTGGATCTGGGGCTGGAAGGACAGATGGAAGTCTAGGATTACACCTAGTACCCTGGCATGAGGGGATGGACTGAGGATGGTGTTAGCGATATTTATGGTGAAGTCAGTTGGGGTGGCGCGGGCAGGGGGGAATAATAGGAGCTCAGTTTTGGAGAGGTTGAGTTTCAGGAAGTGAAGTGACATACAAGCCGATATGTCGCTTAGTATGCTAGTGATGCGGGTGGAAACTGAAGGGGTGAGGGGTAGACAGATAGATTTGCGTGTCATCAGCAGAGAGATGGTAGTTGAAGACATGGGAGTTTATCAAGTGACCAAGGGAGGAGGTGTAGATGGAGAAGAGAAGGGGTCCAAGGACAGAACCTTGGGGGACCCCTACAGAGAGGGAGTGAGGAGGAGGTGGCAGCGTTATAGGTAACACTGAAGGAGCTCTGCGATAGGAGGAGAACCAGGAGAGAGCGGAGGCTGAAAGAGTGTAGTTTTTTGCGGAGGAGGGGATGGCCAACCGTGTCAAAAGCCGCGGAGAGGTCAAGTAGTAGGAGTATTGAATAGTGGCCGTTGGTCTTTGCAGTTAGTAGGTCATTAGAGAGCTTTAGTAGGGCAGTTTCGGTGGAGTGTAGGGGGCAAAAGCCAGACTGTAGGGGGTTGAGAAGGTTGTTGTCAGTGAGGTGGGGGCTCAGATGATTGTAGACTAAGCGTTCTAGGAGTTTAGAGGTAAATGGCAGCAGGGAGATGGGTCTAAGGTTGTTCAGGTTGGTGGGGTCTAGAGAGGGTTTCTTAAGTATGGGAGTGATGTGCGCGTGCTTTAGAGGGGAGGGGAATGCACCTGTAGAGAGGGAGAGATTGAAGATGTAAGTGAGGGAGCATAGGATGGAAGAGGAGGGTGACCGAAGGAGTTGTGAGGGACAGGGTCCAGGGGGCAGGTGGTGATGCGGGCTTCTGAGAAGACCTTAAGGACCTCTTCAGTGGTAGTGAGGTCAAAGGAGGACAGTGTTGAGGGAGGTATGGTGTGAGGGATGCTAGGTGGGGTGGGTGTCTGTGTGGTGGCGATGTCCCTACGAATTGCGTCAATCTTGTTTTGAAAGTGGTGTGCAATCTCATGAGCAGTGATTGAGGCGCTGGGTAGGGGTGGAGAAAGTAGAGAGTTAAAGGTAGAGAAGAGCCGACGAGGACTCGAAGAGAAGGTATTAATGAGGGTGACAAAGTAAGTTTGTTTGGCAGCATGAAGGTAGGAAGTGTATGTTAGAAAGGTGGATTTATAACGGGTGAAGGCTTGGTGGGATTTGGTAGATATGTATCCCTTGAAGCAACTGTGCATGTGCAGGTTTCAGGCCGAAGAAGCCGATCTCCGACTTTAGCACAGAGCTGCCACAGTTAACCCCTTACAGGCTGTAAGCCACTGAAGCTGATCTTGCAGATCACTATACGGGGTTAACTGATCTTGCAACCCATAGTGATCCGCGGGATCAGCTTCAGCGGTTTTTCAGCCTGTAAGGGGTTAACTGTGGCAGCTCTGTGCTAAAGTTGGAGATCTGCTATCGGCTTCTTCGGCCTGAAACCGGCACATGCGCAGTTGCTTCAGGGGGTACATATCTTCACGGGTCCGGGATACTCATTTTACTGCTACACCAGGGGCAGCTTTCACTGTGCCGAGAATCCGGGATCAACCCAATAACTGGCCAGGACCTTCACAGAGCCCAGAGGCTCTGCTGGCATCCTGCTCCTGCACCACGTGTGATGGTGTCACCTGGTGTGGACCGCACCTTCCTAGGAACGCCACTGTGCACATGCATCTCTTCCAGCTTCCAGCTTGTGTTGACGTGGAACCTCTAGGATCTTAGGCTGAGGCTGTACAGAGAACATCAACATCTGCTCTCTTAATGCTAAGCACCACTCCCATCTTTCATCTGTGCCATAACTTCAGTGGGCATTAGAGAATGACATTTGAATGAAAGGGACAGGGTACAGGGGGCTCTAAAGGGACAAACGGATTAATTTACAGACCAACACAGGAATTTGCAGGTTTTAACAATTCTGTACTTCAAGACTATTGTCATCTTAGAGATATTTATGGCAGGTCAGGTTCCCTTTAATGATCTCTGCAAACTACATTTCTGTCATTTTAATTGGACCAATAAATCCAGTCCTACTGGACTACATCCTATGGATAGTCCTTCTGAAGGATTGGATGAAATATCTTTAAAACTCACAATCCATTCAGGAAAGAAACTTTTGAACTAAGAATGATAATTCTATTTGACACAAGAGATAACGCCTTAACTTGGACATGGGATTCCTCAATCATTATCTGACAGTTTTATGACTATTAGCTGAAGCTTGACTCCCTCTGTGTGAGTGTAGTATCCCTCCCCCTCCCCCCCTCGCTTTTGCTGTATCTTATCTGTAGCCTTTTTTTTTTTTTTCATCCCTTCTAACATTCTGCTTAAACTTTGTGATTTGTAATAGCACTGCTTGGACCTTGAAGAAGGGGGCATACCCTGAAAGTTTGTCCTCAAAATTGTATGTTAGTGCAAATAAAAAAAAGTGTCACGGACAGTACTCAATTGTTTCTGTTTAAAACCCACATAAATCTAAACAAAGCATAAAGAAAACGTGCCGAGAGAAATACAGAGCTTCTCATGGCTGACCTCCTTCTGAAAATGTCAGTTGTCTGGCTAACCCTGGCTTTAAAACCTTAAGACACTCAGGAATTAGCATGCAGTCAAGGAAAAGGTCAACAATGGCAGCCTGCCTACATCATCAGATATTTTGAAAGTACAAAGTATTCTGAAAGTACCAACCATAGTTTAAAGATGGAACTCTTGATGTTTTAGCAACTCCAAAACCCCTTCCCCAAATGTTTTCAATTCGTATTGGTTGTTATAGTGCACAATAACTAATCTGATTTGTAAATCACTTATCCTTGTCAGCTTAGTCTCAGATTTTGCTGCAAATGTGTGCTACAAACATAAGTTTGTCCATCAAAATTAAATAAATTCCATCTTATCCAAACTGTTCTAGATATGTGTGTTTCCACTAAGACAACATATTTATTATATAAGATTTCCTCAGCAGTTCCATACTTAAAGTGTTACTAAACCCAGGACCCTACAGGACCACTATATCTGTTCTCCCACAGTACACAGAACTTGAAAATGCAATTATTTTATTAAATATAAACTTCTAAATGCCTTTTCTCATCAGCAGTTAAAGCAGTCTTGTGACTTCTATCAGTCTCCAGCACTGGTTAAAGATTGTAGGAGGAGTGTTCTTTCTGCTCTAGGAGGATGCAGAACCCTTGACCTCTGTCTGGACAGTGCTGATTGGCTCTGTGCTGATCACATGCACTCTCCCAAAAAAAAACCCTCTCTAGCAATACACACCAAATTGAGCATGTGCAGAGTGTCTCCACACGTTATATCTTATCAGGTGATAAGAGGGGGACACTGGAAGGAGGGGAGGATCAGAGAAGAGAGGATAAAAACATGCTTTTTACACTGCAGAGGATAAACCCCTTAGGTTCCACAGTGAGTTTAACAAGCATGCTATAGTGCATATACAGACTGATTTTAGTGTTGTAGGTTTAGTAAAATGCATAGTTCTTACTAAAGTGTAATAGCAGCACAATAGTTTATTGAAATATCATACCTGTCTTGGGGCAGAGTGCCTCCTCCAAGCTTCGTTACAGTGGTGAATATATCCATTAGACTTGTCGGTTTATCAACAGAGGTATTTGTAGGAATAATACCTGGCCAGCGAAGTATTCCTGGTACTCGTATTCCACCTTCCAGTCCACCCATACCTTTACCACCTGGAATGTAGAGATCAAAACCACAAGTATAAATTATACATGGCCAATAAAAATATAGCTGTAAATACAGTTGTCTTAAAAAAAAATAAAAAAGACTAAATATAATATTTCATTATTTACATTGTGTATTTTGGTTTGAGGTTGATAAACAATATTTGCCTGAAAAAAATATAATTACTTTCAATATTTCAGATTAATGTTGTAGAATAGTAAATGTTTTTAGTAGCACACAAAGTGTGAGATCATCTAAGGTATCCAAACAAAAAGAAACCTGGATAGGAGACTTTAATTAATAAATTACAATTCAACAGTGTGACATACTTCCAAGCAGTTGATAATACAGTTCAGTACATGTGCCATAAACAGTCTCAAACTATAATAGAGTAGAGTCCAAGGTGCCTAAGGCAGAACATCTACATCCTGGCTATAACAAGTCTTTAGGTCTCACTTACTATACAGGAGGGTTTGCTGTGGAGCTCACCTAGTATCAGTACAGGGTACAAGATATTCCTCTTAAGGCCTGAGGCCCAAGCATACCTTTCCCCCAGAGAGGGACATGCTATAAGTCTATCCTCTTTTCATGACTGCATGTGCTGCACACACACTGGGACCCTTAAATTCTCCTACTCCCTTCTAGTATAGTGAGAGCCCTGGCCTACTGAGCACCCCACACACCCAGAGGGTGTGTGTCTACATGCCTATAGCCTAAAGGTATTAAGGAGCAAAGCCTTCACCGTATTTGTGAGACCAGTATGGAATCTCTAAAAAGAGCCTGTACCTCTACTCAACTGGGGATATTACAGGCAGTCCTGTTTAAGAAAATATGTCAATATTCAAAAAGCCCATATATTAAATATTAGAAACAAGTACCATCCACTAGCCCCACAAACTTTATATATTCTCCAAACAGGAACATCAATATATTGTACAGTCCTCAAAGTATGTCTCAGTGAGGGGATGCTACATTAATGTACAGTATATGCCATGTACTCTCCTAAAGGGCCTATCCAATATTGCCTTGCAATAGGCAAGTCACACTTGATGACCTCATCACAAAGGACATAGGGCACAGAGGGCATTATTGAAAGGGTAAAGAGAACACACTTCATTACAGGTCAGTGGATACACTTACCAAATAAACAGACAAAATGATTATCATATCACTACATTAGTTTCGGTATAAAACACATTTAAAAAAATAAATAAAAAATAATAGGGCGCATGCGTGGCAGTCCAAGATGGTGGACGTGTGAAGTCTGAGCTCCGCTGAGCCTCAGCCTTCACAGCCCTCCCGCTCCGCTTCTGCAGCATCCACAGCTCCAGGAGAGCCCTCTCCCAGGTCGAGACATACCCGGCATTCCCATGGGAAAAATTCGGTGTTGGAAGCCGCCCATGCCACCTCCTTTGGATCCCTGGCCTTCTGTGCTGGATCGCTTCTTCACTAGGCCTGCATCCCCAGCCTCGAGTAGAGGCAGCAGCCCCAGTGAGCGCTCCAGAGGAGCTGCTGAAATGGAGGGGACAGACACAGATCCCCCTGCGGCTCTACATCCCTCACCGATGGTTCCTTCTCTGACAGTGGATATCTTAGAGGACAAACTGCAAGTATTCCTATATAATATTACCAGCACTATTTCTGCTGAAATCGGGAAACTGGCTCAGGAGCTTAGGGGGGAGATTACTCAGCTAGGAGACCACTTTGAGTCCAAATTTGACGAACTGGTACAATATGTCCATGTTCTAGAGGAGGATAATACAAGCCTGAAACAGTCTGTGTCTCAGTTACAACTCCAACAGGAAGATCTGGAAAACAGGGAGCGTCGCCAGAATATTCATATTCGTGGCATATCTGAAACGGTCTCTGACTCCCAACTTCAACGTCACTTGCTGTCTCTATTTACTACTCTGGCCCCCAAGGTCCCAGATGTTGATTGGCGAATGGACCGGGCCCATAGATCATTAGGCCCGAAACCTTCCGAGGGCACCAGGCCTAGAGATGTTATCATTCACTTTCACTACTTTGACATCAAACAAGTCTTGCTCACTTCTACCCGCAATAAGCCCTCTTTGGAATTTAAAGGAGACAGGCTCCAAATTTTCAGTTATTTATCTCCCATCACCTTGGCAAAAAGACGTGTTTTGAAGCCGGTCACCACTCATCTCCAGCAGCATCATATCACATACCAGTGGGGATTTCCCTTCAAGCTAGTTGTCTCCAAAGATAATGCCCAAGTCATACTCTGTGACTTACATGAAGCGGACTCCTTCTTTAACCTCTTGGTGCCTCCCGGCCCTTTAAGAGTTTCAGAATCAGCCGGGAGGCGGGGCAGGATTTTAGGGTCATGTGACTGCCATGATTCGCCGTCACTGTGGTCACATGATCAGAAAAGGTCCCGATTGAAAAGAGGAGATCGGGATCTTCCGGGAGTCCTGGGAGCGTGCGCGCACTCTCAGCACATATGTGTTTTCTAATTGCACGCAAATACGCGGCCACTCTGCATCAAGGCCCACACTTCGAGAGGCGGCATATTTGCGTGCGATTGGTGTCAAGGGGTTAAACAGCTGGGACTTCCTCTCCTGCCAGACAAGGCCCTTCCGCTACCTCCTACCCCATCCAGGCCCTCTGCCACTCCACGCAAGATCTGGACACCTGCTAAGCCTAGAAGGAAGCGATTTCCTTGTACTCCTCAACATCCACAACTTCCTGGATTGGTGGGCCCTGCCACCTGACTCTTTCACATGTCAGGTTTCCCGCCCTGTTAATTGTGCTTCTTTTTTCCAATGTAAGCCTTAGCATTTTTCCCACATTGCTATGTCCTGACTACAACAGCTGTTTTGAGTGACACATTTGTATGAAATAGGTCCATTGCCTTGATAATCACTTGGTTTTCTATCTCTGTTGTTTTATGTTTTGCCTCATCGATGATAATTTTCCTGTATACTCAGGTTACACAGCTGATATACCCATTGCTGTTTCATGATGGCTTTAAAGCTGTTGTCATATAGGGGTTTATTTACTAAAGCTGGTTCACTCAGAATCTGGTGCTCCTGTGCATGGTAGCCAATCAGCTTTTAACCCCAGCTAGTTCAATTAAGCATTAGCAATAAAACCTGGAAGCTGATTGGTTTCCATGCAGAAGTGCATGAGATTCTGAGTGAACAAGCTTTAGTAAATAAACTCCATAATGTCAAAGGTGTCAACTCAATTCAAAAACAGTGGATGGCTCCGATGGAGTTGAGATCCTCGGGAGCAGACATCATATTCATTCAGGAAACTCATTTCAAACAGGATGGCTCTTTTCGCTTCGCCTCTAAGAACTTTCCTCAATCCTGTTCAGCTTTTGACCTCTCCGGGAAAGCCGGAGTGGCTATTTTGATTAGAAAAAACTGCTCCCTGTGGGTCTCCTCCTCCCAGGTTGACCCACTTGGTTGTTATGTTTTACTGGAATGTATTTATGAGGGTTCCCCATTTGTGCTTTTGAACTTGTATGCACCTAACTCTAGTCAGCTACTATTTCTCTCTCAAACTTCACATAAATTATGTTCCCTATCTACTCCACGCATGATTGTTGGGGGGGATTTTACCCTGGTTATGTCTCCTCAAAAGGATAGGAAGGTCCTCTTTACATCTACTATGTACATCTACTAAGCTATGCTCCTCCTTGACAGCCTTCCATAAACTCATGCCTCACTGTAGCTTAATCCCCTTCTCCCTAACTCCTTCCCTAGGGTCTGTCACTGGCACCTCAATGAGAGTTTCCTGCACTCGGACCACCTTCGGGAGGAACTCTCTCGGGGCCTGGACGCTTATTTTCAATACAACGTTGGCTTGATAGCCTAATCTTCAACCATCTGGGAAGCTCACAAAGCTGTCTTCAGAGGCCTTTGTATTTCCATAGGCACACAGTTAAAGAAGGCCTCTGTTTGTACCAGACAATCTCTTTTATGCCAACTATCCTTAGCCGAAAGACGATTAATAGACAACCCGTCTATATCTTGGCTTCAGAAAGTGTCCAAATTAGGGCCCTTTCACCTGCACAAAACTGCCCAGTCCCTTGCTTGGGCTAGGCAAAAATTCTATGAGTTCTCTAACAAACCGCATCACATGATTGTAAATAGACTCAAATCTCAAACATCCCCCTCACTGCTGGGTCACCTACTCCAGTCAGATGGCAAACCCACATATGATCCACATGTAATGGCTACTGTATTTGGTGAATATTATTAGAAACTTTATAATTGCTTAGCCCCTGATACCCACCCTCCCCTTCAGATGGTTGCCTTTGACACTTTTTTTGACTCCTTACAACTACCAAGTTTGTCACTTTCTGATGTAACAGCTCTAAACGCGGACATCTCTACTGAAAATATATTGGATGTTGTTAAACACCTCCCTACACACAAATCTCCAGGACCAGATGGTCTTCCTTACTCCATATTACAAGACCTTTATTGACATTTTGGCCCCCCACCTTCTGTCTTTTGTTTTGGCGATCTCCTGATGGGGTCGCATCCGCATGGTGATTTTACACACGCATACATTTCCGTGATCCCCGAGCCGGATAAGGACCATTCCCTTCCAAATAATTATTGCCCTACAGCCTTATTATACTCTTATTACAAGATATTTATGAAAATAGTAGCTAACAGACTGGCCAAGTGTATTTCCAAACTTATACACAGAGATCAGGTGGGTTTAGTACTGGCTAGACATGCCGCGGATAACACTAGGATGACCATTGACTTGATGGATCTTGTTAATAAGTCCTCGACTCCTACTCTCTTGTTGAGCTTGGATGCCCAAAAAGCGTTTGACCGACTTAGCTGGCCATATATGTTTCTAGTCCTGGAGAGATTGGGTTTAGTGGTCTGTTTATAGCAGCTTTAAATGCTATTTACGCCACCCCCACCTCCAAGGTCAAAATGGCATAGTTTTTATCACCTTCCTTCTGGATGTCCAATGGTACACGCCAGGGATGTCCGCTTTCCACCTTGTTGTTTATCCCCTGTTTAGAACCCCTGACCATAGCCATTAGATATAATCTGGATATCCATGGGATATGCACACATAACAGTGACTTTAAACTGTCCCTGTTCGCTGATGATATCTTGCTGATGCTGATGGAGCCCCACACTGCTTTACCTGTTTTGCATCGTACTTTACAGCTCTTCGGTGCCCTGTGAGGTTAACGCATCTAGAACCAAAGCTGTCAGGGACTGCGGGTCTCACCGCAGCGCACAGGTCTGCACATGTGCAGATTTCCTAGGTGCACCAATGTGCAGGCACAGGACCTGGGCGTCCGCGGCGGCACTTGCGGCTGCGCATGCGCACTCGCGCACACGGGCGCGTCCCTGGCACCAATGACGGTGCAGGGCGCACTATTTAAACTGGCCAGGCGGTGATCAGGTTGCCGCAAGGTCTAGTTCCTGTACCTGTGTTTCTGAAGTGCGTTCCCTGTTGCCGATCCTGCCTGTCCTGATTTGCGTTGACCTTCTCCTGCTCTGACCCCGGCTCGTCCCTGACTATTCCTCTGCCTGTCATTATTATTCATTTTGGACCTCCCGTTGCTGAACCTTGGCTCGTGACCCGGCTACTCTCCGTCTACTGCTTGGTACCTACCTGCCTCCACCGTTACCGACCCGGCTAGTCTGACCACGCTCACTCCTGACTGTCATCCATCCATCCCTCTCGGGACCTGGACCTGTCAGCCTCTTCACATCAGGCTCACCCCTGGCACATACCCTCAGCGGGACCCCTCTACCACAGTTGGGTGCACTCGGGCTGCGACCTGGTTTCAGTCTTGCACCAAGTCCATCCCCACCATCAGGGGCTCTGGTGAAAAGGCAGACTGAGACTTAGACTCCGCATCCTGGGGAATCCCGTTCTGTGGATCACTAGAGATGCCGCCGGGCAGTGTCTGACACAAAGCATTACCATTCCATATACCATCTACAATTTTATCTTCCCTTCAGTTAAATTATCCATATGGGTGGTGCCCCCATGCCTTGAAATATTTAGGTACCAAGCTTACTTCCTCATATCACTCCCTTTATGCAGCTAATTTCTCCCCCCTGTTTCATGCAATTTCTCAGTCATTAAAATCCTGGGACAATCTTGCCATCTCCTTCCTTGAACGGATTAATGTACTAAAAATGACCATATTGCTCAAACTCCTGTATCTGTTTGAGACTTTTTGTGTTCCTATATCCCCATGTCCAAATTACACTCCCTTCAGAAATCCTTCCTCCACTTCATTTGGAATAATGAATCATACCGAATTACCCATATTGTCCTTCTCTCTCCTTGAACTAGGGAGGGTCTTGGGGCCCCAGACATTGTGTCATACTACTTAGCTACTCACCTTCTTGCTCTTGTCTCATGGTCCTCCCAGCGCCCCCCCCCCTAATAAATGGGCCGAGATTCAATGGCTACAATTAAGTCCTATGCACCCTTGTTCTCTCCTCTGGTCTATGACCAACACAAACATCTCCTGCTTGGACCCATGCAGTTCACATTATCTATATGGAGGCGCTGTAAGTTAAATTAGCCCTGTCTTCTCTGTGTTCCCCCTTGACCAATGTCATATTTAATTCCTGTCTCTTAGATAGCCTGGCCTTGACCCATGTGCACCCCTGGATCAAGGCCAATCTATTTCAGTTGCAGCACTTGGTCCATCCAGCGAGTTTAAATCCTTCTCTGAGATTCAAAATAAAAGCCACTCATATGCCAACCCACCAATATTATGTTTATTTACATATATGTCATTTCTTTTCAAAGCCCCTTCTTTAACTCGTGAGAAGCCTACCCCCTTTGAACATATCTGCATCCAAGGCCCATACCAATGGGACATAATTTCCTCTACGTATAGGCTGCTTCTAGATGCCTGCCCCCTTTCTATGGATTCTCACCTTTATATGCATAAATGGCCCCAAATCCTCCAATATGACATTGCCTTGGATCAATGGAGCAGGATTTGGGAGGCTGCCTCCATATCTTCTATATGTGTTGTATATAAAGAAAATACTTATAAAATTCTGATGTTTTGGTATAGGACTCCTGACGTTCTCCATGCTCATACTCCGACTGCTTTTTCTGTCTGATGATGGCGATGTGGCGAGGAAACTGGCATTCTCTTCCACATTTTTTTGGACTTGCCAGTACATTGCACCCTTTTGGAGAGAGGTCCTTAACATTCTGCAGCTTCTTTTGCAGGCTCCTATTTCATTTGAGCCTATCCACTTTTTGTTGGGCCTACCTTTTTCAGACCTCTCCAAATTTGCAAGGAAACTTTCCTCCCACGTTTTAACGGTGGCCAGGGGAACCATTCCCATATATTGGCTTTCTACTATGCCTCCTACGCTATCAAAGTGGTGAAGGTTATAGCAGAGATTAGAAAAATGGAGTACCTCACTGCTTTGCATGCTAACTCTGTTCCCACTTTTGAAGCAGTTTGGGAACCATGGGATACTTCCAATTCCAACTTGTCTACTCAATTGTCTGAAAATGATAGCTAATTCACTGTTATGTATTGACATTGTATATATCTATATACCTCTCATCAGTGAGCCTATTTCACTGTTCTTTTACTGCTCTGTGTTTGTTATATTGTGTTTCTATGCAACTCTGTTTGTTGTAAAAGTTTGAAAATCAATAAAAAGTAAATTCTAAAAAATAAAAAAAAAAAAAATTCATGATGGTGGATGAGTCATTACCTCTGTAAATTCCATTGAAGCCTTTCAGATGAGGACTTCCTTCCATTCCTTCCAAATATGCCCCATGGTCTGACGTGAAGTAGGTAAATGTATTATTCACTAACCCTTCTTTATCAATTGCTTCTAGGATTTCCCCTTAAATGACGAAAAAAAAGTTTATGACTTTCATATCCATTTTTAGCTATTAAAGCTGCAAAACAAAATTGAATCATGGTGCAGCATACAGTCATTACCAGATGTGGTGGCTTCATTAATTTTTAGCATGTTATTTTTACTTTCCGTTAGCGAAAAGATCTCAGCTTCATCTTCAGCTGAATGGACACGCTGGAAAGCTTTCATTGATCAGCAGCTGCAGCCGCTGATCAGTGTAATTTGACAGTGGAGAGTCCTACTATGCTGTCCTCCACTCACCTCGCTTCTGTGGTAGGAGGAACCTTCTAGGGTTTTTTTTGTTCAGCCCACTGGCTAAATGATAAAAAAATTAAACCTCTTTACCAAGACTAAGTTTCTACCTTGTTACCTCTATTTTCATGTAGTAATTATGCTGCATTTTCTGTCCTTATCTTATCGTACTATATCTATCGAACAGTCATTTTAGGATAGGAAGTGTATTAAGACTACAGAGCACCTGCCTCTCTCCATAACATGATGAAAGGTGTTCTTTAGTCCACATAGAGAACTGGGAACAGTGCTGACAAAAGTGCAGAAGATGCAGAGTGCAGATGAACTTATCAGCTAAATGGATTGGGTTTTTTTTGCACTTTTGCCAAATATAGCAAAATGCTCTTAATTGTATATTTCAAGCCTCTAAAGTGAGCATACACGAGATGTATGTTGCTAGGGTTTACATACAGGATATGTTAAAGCTGAACTCAAGGAATTAGCCACAATCTTCACACACTGTAAGGATTAACTGCTTGTTAGGGGACATGAATAAGAAGTAATACCCGCCTTATTTCTTTCTTCAGCAGGCTCCCTTGATCTGTGTAACCAGTCCAGCATTGTCTCTTTCCCAAGGTCTTCTAGCCAGGGTCACATTTGAACCTCCTTCACATATAATGCAGGGTTAACGATGCTGAAGGACTGTCTATAGGCTAAGCTTTGGGGAGAATAGGAGAGCACCAGAGGCAGCCAGAGTGAAAACAAGGTAAGTAAAACTGCCTGTTCATCTCTAGACCATCATTTAAACCTTCCACTGTGGATGGCCCCACTGCAAGGTTACACTTTGACTAATTAATGGAGATCAGTAGTAAAGGCATTGTACACTTGCAAATGTATTTGTTTGTTTTAACTAAATAGTACTGTAGTTATTTTCCCTGTGTAGTTTGTTTGCCTTATTTTGTAATGATGGGCTCACATGTTGTGACTGCATTTAGTAGTGTCAGAGCTTATCTATTCCCCTATGTCCATGTGTTCATTCACCTAGCTTGTCCCTAAAACGCCCCCAAATGGCTGCTGTTTTTTAAAAAAAAATGAACATGTTTGATAAGACTACACTGCTTAAAAAAATTAAGGAACACTTTTTAATCAGAGTATAGCATCAAGTCAATTAAACTCCTGGCAGAGTGATCTGGTCAGTTAAGTAGAAGAGGGGGTGGTAATCAGTTTCAGCTGCTTTGGTGTTAATGAAATTAACAATAGGTACACTAGATGGGCAACAATGAAATGAACCCTAAAACAGAAATGGATTTATAGGTGGAGGTCACTGACATTTTTTTCCCTACTCATCTTTTCTTACTGTTATTCACTAGTTTTGCATTTGGCTAGTGTCAGTGTACCTGCTGGTAGCATGAGGCTATACCTGGACCCTACAGAAGTGATACAGGCAGTCCAACTCCTCCAGGATGGAACACCAATACGTGCCATTGCCAGAAAATTTGGTGTGTCTCCCAGCACAGTCTCAAGAGCATGGAGGAGATTCCAGGAGACAGGCAGTTACTCAAGGAGAGCTGGACAGGGCTGTAGAAGGTCCTTAACCCATCAGGAGGACTGATATCTGCTCCTCTGTACAAGGAGGAACAGGATAAGCATTGAACACCAGAACTGGCAAGTCCACCACTGACACCCTGTGCTTTTCACAGATGAGAGCAGGTTCACCCTGAACACATGTGACAGATGTGAAAGGGTCTGGAGAAGCCGTGGAGAATGCTATGCTGATTGTAAAATCATTCAGCATGACCATTTTGGTGGTGGGTCAGTGATGGTCTGGGGAGGCATATCCATGGAGGGATGCACAGACCTCAACAGGCTAGACAATGGCACCCTGACTGTCATTAGGTATCAGAATGAAATCATTGGACCCATTGTCAGACCCTACGCTGGTGCAGTGGGTCCTGGGTTCCTCCTGGTGCACGACAATGCCTGGTCTCATGTGGTGAGAGTATACAGGCAGTTCCTGGAGGATGAAGGAATTGATACCATTGAATAGTCCCCACGCTCTCCTGACCTAAATTCTATAGAACACCTCTGAGATATCATGTTTCGGTCCATTGGACTCCGCCAGGTTGCACCTTAGACTGTCCAGGAGCTCAGTGATGCCCTGGTCCAGATTTGGGAGGAAATACCCCAGGACACAATCCGTCATCTCATTAGGAGCGTGCCCCGATGTTGTCAAGCATGCATACAAGCACATAGGGGCCATACAAACCACTGAGTACCATTTTGAGTTGCTGCAATGAAATTTCAGCAAAATGGGCTAGCTTACTGCATTATTTTTTCACTTTGATTTTCAGGGTATTTGAATTCAATCCTCTGTAGGTTCATAATTTTCATTTCCATCAAATGATGGGGCATCCGTCGTCTCATTAGGAGCATGTCCCAATGTTCTCAGGCATGCATACAAGCACGTGGGGCCCATACAAACTACTGAGTACTATATTGAGTTGCTGCAATGAAATTTCAGCAAAATGGACTAGCCTGCTGCATCATTTTTACACTTTGATTTTCGTGGTGTCTTTAAATTTAGTTCTCTGTAGGTTGATAATTTTAATTTCCATCAAATGGTAGGCATCCTTAAGTTTCATCACATTACACAGTTCATATCAGTAGAGATATCCAGCATGATACTTTTCCCCATTGAGATCTGATGTGTTTTCAAAGTGTTCCTTTAATTTTTTTGAGCAGTGCATTTAAATTGGTCTGACTTCTATATTATTAAAAACAATATTTTTTCCTTTACACAGGGCAGGAATTAACTTACCAACCATCCAGTCCATTTCCTCTATATTATCTCCATACAAATCATGTTTGCTTCTTCCTCTAAACCTCTTAGTGGTATAATAGGGAGTGTGGATATGCAGGAAAGATACAAACAGCAGAAAGGGCCCATTTTTATTCCTAAAATGCAATACAATAATATATTTTCTGTTTTTAATATAAAGTACATCTGACGTGAAAACTTTTTTTTTTTGTAATAGAATATTGAGGGGTTATAACTAGAGATGGGTTTGTGAGTCCTCCAAAATCACCATGTTCTGTCTCAACAGATCCCCCCCCCCCCCCCCGCTGTTCCTCCCATTAGTAGTGGTGGAGACAGCAGGCTGTGCAAAGGACTGTGTCAGTGCCCAGGGAGGAGGATCCATCTTCAGGATGGCAGAGTGGATGATCGATCTGTAAATATAACATGTCATATTTACTGATCCTTTGTCTGTCTTGAATGAACAGCAGTAATTGCAGCTGCAATAACAACAGTAGTGCAGCTGATACTTCTCTGTGTGCTCAAATATCTTCTTGTATTTCAAAAGTGAAAATACAGACCCATGATAATTCACTACAGCTTCAACAAGTAATACAAATAAGGTATACATAACTAAATATAAAATAATAATAAAAGAATGAAATATAAATAAAAATAAACAATTCCCTATTCACATCAGTGTGAAAGACTGTTCTCCAGTCATTAACTACTGCTGTGCTTTTTTTGGGGGGGGGGGGGGGTATCCAAAATTGCATGGTCATGCAACACAGTGCCCATATGACATTTTTACCATTTTTGAGACAGAACTTTTTTTGGTGGTATTAAATCACCACTGGGTTTTTTATTTTTTTTGCTAAATAAACGAAACAAGACAAAACATTTAGAAAAAAGTTTTTCTTAGTTTCTGTTAGAAAATTTTGAAAATAAATAATTTTTCTACTTCACTGATGTGTGCTGATGAGGCTGCACTGATGAGTACTGATAGGCTGCATTGATGGGCACTGATGAGGCAGCTCTGATGGACACTGCTGAGGAAGCCCTGATATGTGGCACTGATGAGCACTGATAGGCAGCACTGATAGGTGGCCCTGATAAGCAGAACTGATGAGGAGTGTCACGGTGTGCCCTGCCTTCACCCTCCCTCCCCCCTTGCCGCATCCTCTCATCCTTTACACAGCCTTTGCGGCAGGCTGTGCAGGATGAGGGGAGGGGACCCCTGCGGCAAGGATCACAGTCCCCCGGCAATATAGCAGGAGGAGCTGTGACCCCCCGGCAGGAAATCCCAGCGGGGGGCCGCCGGGAGGTCTCCGTGCGCCCCCGGCGGGCGCAGAGCTTCCCGCACTCTGCACCAGCCAGTGACGAGAGTGCGGCCCAAGTCAAGGGGGGCGTGCCTCATTGCGTTGTTAACGCGGCGCTGGGCCGACCATTGCCGGGGCAACCTGGAAGCGTCCTGCCCAGCTTTAAAAGGCTGGCGCGAGACCCGGCTGGTGGGAGCTGTGCTGAGGTCAGACCCCCATCCAAAGTTCCGCTGAGTCCCCATGAGCCTGATGTTGTCCCTAGAGAGCTGTGTGGGAGCTGTACTGAGGTCAGACCCCCAGCCAAAGTCCCGCTGAGTCCCCGTGAGCCCGCTTACCGTGAGTGTCCCTACAAGCCGTATGTTGCGGAGTACCATGAACTGTCCTGATTGAGTGTCTTTCATAGTTCAATAAAGCTTTGTGTGTTTACCATCTTCTTTGTGTGTTCTGTCCTGCCTACGCTTCTGTCACAAGGAGGCACTGATAGGTGGCACTAATGGGCACCTATAGGCAGCACTGATGATTGGCACTGATTGGCACTTACGGGGCTGCACTGATAATCAGTGTAGATGTCCCTGCGAAAATTGCCAGTTACTGGTTCACTTGTCCTCAAGCTGTTACAGCTGTTACAGTGTGTGATCAGAAGACTGCCAATAACTGGCAAGTCTCTTTACACTGTGCTCAGCTGTGATTGGACACTGCTGATCACATGGTAGAGGCCACTGTGATTGGACCTCTCTCTGTGATCAGCTGTGTCCTAAAAAACATAGTGATCACAGAGTGCTCCCGATGTGCACCCTGGGGCATCCATACATGCTCTCCCAGAACCAACTGACTGCACTGTAGCCATCTTTCGGCTATAGCCCAGTCGGAAAGTGATTAATCATTTCATCATGTAAGGGTCCAAATGTGCTGGGTGCTGCTAACTATCTCAGCTCAGCAACATAGTAGTGAATAGACACTCAAAAAATCCTGCGCTCACCAGTCAAATTAGTGAATAATGTGTAAACAATTAATGTGCAAAGTATTAACCATAAGTAATTGTAGTGTTGCCCCTTTGAGAGCCCCTGGTTTTGGGTCCCCTTATTTTCCTACATGGCCAGACAACATGCATTTTCTAACTTTCAATCAGAATCAGTAACCAGTCCATGGGCTTGTTTTTGTTGTTTTATTTGGGGATAAACTACTCAGATAGGGTCTAGGGGTATATGGGATGCCCAACTTAACTAGAACAATAACTCTGAGGACCAACTTAAAAAAGTAGGATCCTGGACTTTCTACTCCCTCCAGAGTGGCAACAGTCTCTTCACTGATCAGTAGCAAAGTCTCTGTAATGAGCTCTTGGTCCCCTCTAAATGAACCTCTTCAGACCCCAGCTAGAAATTACCATTCCTCCTAGCTGTCTTTTGAAGGGTATCCTGCAGCAAGAGATTCCAAAACATACTTGCAGCACTTTGGTTTGGTATAGTACATAGCAGCCCTATCTCCTGTAGGCCCCAGGGGTGTATACTCACACTGTCCTTATCTCCTGTAGTTTTGATGAACTGCTTTTAGGCTTTTTCTATACTGGTTCCCTTCCAGGCTAACAGGCTGTCCTTCCTTGGTAATCACAGCAGGTCACATGACAGTTGTATACAATGGAGGCTTCCTTTCATGCCATCTATTGTATAGACCTGTGTCTAGCTGTGAATGGTCACAGTGATCACATGCACAAGCTGGGCCAATCACAGCCCAGCTGTGTCATGTGATTAGCCATGGCCAAATCACAGCTAATCATAAAAAAAAACCCTGAATGAATCAATTTCATTCAGATACATGCTTGCTTATAGCAAAGTAATTCTTTGCTATAAGCAAATTGTGTGAAAAAAAAAAAAATACTGATCACTTCCGCAAAGTAGTACAATGTTACTATGGTGCAATATGAAAAAAAAAATCTTAAAAAATTAAAAATAATAAAAAATATTTTTAAAAAATTGAAAAATAATTATCAATTTTTTTTTTGTACTATCACCAGTCAGTGTCCCTGATCACTGCCATGCCAGTTATATGATGACACTGTACTTCATTGGTGACAGTATGTAAAAAAAAATAGTGAAAAACGTTTAATTTCTTCATTTTCCAAAAATTTTGACAAAAAAATTACAACATCAAAAAACTGCCATGCCTGTTATGAAATATGTCAGACTGTCTATTTTGCAAAACAGGGTCATTTGGGGGATATCTGTACTGTTCTGAAATTTTTGGACCTCAAGAAATTTGATTGGCTGTCAGTACTTCAGGATTGATCAATTTTCAGATATATCCCATAGTTTGTGAACTCTATAACTTTCCTACAGACTAAATAATAAATACTAATTTGGGTTATTTTCACTAAAGAAATGTAGCAGAATACATCTTGGCCTAAATTTATGAAGAACAATTATTTATTTGCAAACTTTTACAACAGAAAAAAAGAAAAACGTGTTTTATTTTTCAAAATGTTCGGTCTTTTTTTGTTAATTTAGCAAAAAAATAAAAACCCCAGCGGTGATTAAATACCACCAAAAGAAAGCTCTAGTTGTTTGAAAAAATTATAACATTTTAGTTTGGGTAGTGTTGTATGACCGTGCAATTGTCATTCAAAGTGTGACAGTGCTGAAACCTAAAATTTGGCCTGGGCAGGAAGGGGGTAAAAGTGCCCTGTATGGAAGTGGTTAATCAACAAGGCCCTCTGTCTCTCAGGTGAGGCCCCATCCAAGACAGATGCTAGTAAGCAGCTTGAAAATTTCTCATAGGGTCCAGGTGCTACAGGCTTTCCAGGATTCTGTAGAAACTGAAGGCTGCACACAGGGTTGAAGTGTCCCTGTCGGCACTGTTGTGTCTTAGCAGTGCAGATAGGCCGTTAACCTTTCACCATATTTATTATTAACACATTTTTCCTGCTCTGGTCTGGTCTCTCACCACCCTGCAGTACACGTAAACAAAGGGGCGGGATGCTGTTGACATCAGGGTCCTCATATAGACAATGCCTACATTTAGTCAATGACATTGGTCAATGACAAAATTAAAATGGAAAAACCTGTGTTCAAGGTCAGTAATCTATGCGTATGTATGTATGTATGTATATGGTATGTATATATATATATATATATATATATATATATATATATATATATATATATGTGTGTGTGTGTGTGTGTACGTGCACACATATGTTCACACAAATATTTAATTGAATGGAATGGAAATAGAATGTTATGCATCTAAACACTTTATGAGAGTTTACACATTTATACATTTGTGAACTCAAGCATTTTGTGGTCCATTTCATGCATTTATGTATTGATTTATTTGCAGTATCTACACAGAAAGATCTTGTGTAGATGGTCAGATCTTGTGTAGATGGTCAGATCTTGTGTAGATGGTCAGTAAGTTTTTTGCGGTTGTGTGCAAGCAAAACAGTTGTGCCAACCTTTGAAATGAAATTGGGGCATTTTAGTATGTGTAGACTGTCAAGTGTTGTCAAATCACCAAGCACATGACCCTCATAGGAAAACTGAAGGCTTTTTAAAAAAATGTTCTGAATATGTATATGGCAATTTACCCAGTCCACAGAGTCATGCATTTCATGAATCCTGATTACCTGGATTTATAAACGATATGATTGTCTACATTTTGGCAATCTTATTGTACATATTCAGGAGAACTGGACAAGCTGCTTGTGTGTGTTTGCTCCCAAGTCGCCTGTGTGTGTCCTAGGACACGCAGAGCTCAGCTCGGCTCCACCCCCACTTCCTTCTCACTGGCTGAGTCTCAGCCAATGAGGAGGGAGAGACCTGGGAAAGCCGATGCTCTCCTTCACAGTGCTGGATCGAGATGGGTCTCAGGTAAGTAGGGGGGTCTTAGGGGCAGCTGCACACTCAAGGTTTTTTACCTTCATGCATAGAACGCATGAAGGTTAAAAACCTTCAGCCTTTAGCACTTACTGATTTTAGTCAGTAGAATGTGTCCTTGCTGATTCCGATTCCTCTTTTTTTAGTTGACATTTTCCTCTATCCGCCCCCCTCCCCACCATCCTCTATACCCCGTCACCATAATCTTCTGATGTGGCGGGGCCTAATAAAACTAAGGGTCTGTCACAGGCTCTCATCAAGAAAGCCCGACTATACACACCTTTTCTGTTCTGCTAGTCCATTCATAGAATCCATACTATAGCTTCTATGAATGAAACATTCTCTGAATGGGGGAGGTGGGGCTATCAATCATCCACACATCCTACATTCAGAGATCCTGTTTCATTCACAGAAGCTGTAGTACTACTTCTATGAATGCACAGCTAGGTGGAAATGGTGGGCATAGTGAGGCTCTCTTGATTGACAGCCTATTACAACCCCTTATTACTATTAAGATTTCAACTAAAAGAAAAGGAATCAGCAGAAGGAACATATCCTACTGACATTAAGTTTTGACTCTTGTGCTGATTTTTCTGTATTTAATTTTAGCTATACTTAGGTTTTAAAGTTGTTGTAAAGGCTTAAGGCTTTTTACATTAATGCATTCTGTGCTTTAAGGTAAATAACCTTCCATGGTCAGCTCCCCCCCCCCCCAACTCCCCCAAAATAGTACTTACCTGAGCCTGATCTCGATCCAGCACTGTGCCTGAGAGCAGCAGTTTTGCTCTCTCTCTCCCCTCACAGGACATGGAGGCAGCAGTGGGAGCCATTGGCTCCTGCTGATGTCAATCAAATCCTGTGAGAAGGAAGCAGGGGGTGGGACCAATCTGCACGGTGTGTGTCAATAGACAGACACAGTGTAGTTCAGGATCGAGCCCTCATGTCTGTCCCCATACCAAGTGGCTTGCCATGGGGGAAGACACAGAAGAGGAGGAGTGGACAGTGCCAGTGGGAATTGCACAGAGCAGCTAAGTATGACATGTTTGTTATTTAAAAAATCAAAAAATCACATTCACTTTAAGGGGCCACCATTAGAGTGAACCTGTTGCTTAGCCCTGCAAGGACAAAGCACAGATTCACTTTACATATAAACCTCTAAAATCTATAATCCTATACTGGTGCTATGTTGTAAAAGTAATATGTTTATTCTTACCTGGTGATAAATGCTCTGGCCTCCTCAACTATCTGACTAACTTTTAACTCCAGATCCATTGGTTGTTCAACAATGTCAAAGTTTCTGATTAATATGCAGTTCCAGTGTGGTAGAAATGCAACGGCCACATACCAATATAGCAAGAAAATTGAGCCAAAAAATGCAAAAATAAAAAGTTTCCAGGGAACAGTCATTAAATGTAATAGTTTGATAACTACTAGTGTAAGCACAGTAATAGTGAATATCTGTGCATAAAATTTCAATTGTTTCTTGTTATCTAATAACATTTCACTTGGTCTTGAGGCTTCACAGTCATTAATAAGACTAAAAGGAATACCAAAAAAATAATCAAAGCCGTGGTTTAATGGATGGTGGCAAAAGTCATTCCGCGATTCACAATTTACACCTAAGTGCCACTTTCCTGTTTGAAACAAAAATATATATGAAAACATTTCAGTTTTATTAGGACACAATAAAATAAAAAGGATTATTAAAAAAAGAACTCACAGACACCAGATTGCCTTAAAATATTGCTGGAAAGTCACATTTCTACTTGGAATAATTGGTTGGATTTTGTTTCAAACAGTTTTTGCAACAAAATTAACAATTTTGCCATGGGCAACATTTGGCAGAAATGAAAACTCATTTTCACTCATTGAACTGCTTATCATGAAATGCAAAATCATGTATGCTTGGAAAAAATGGAGCTGATTTTTGGTACAACAGATCTGCGATACTGAAAAGGAGCACCCTCAGGAGTCATTTAATATTTTCATTACCATCACCATACCTATTAGGGACCATTTACACAAGCATTACCCTCTGAAGAACGATGAGGAGGCATTATGTGACCTCCTCACCACATGTTTTGACCCCTAAAAGTCTGCAACACTGCATCACAACGGTGCGCCTTGCACACCGCTGGGGTTTTTTTTATGGTGCCCCACTCATTTGAATCATATGTGTCATATGCATACACCATAGAACTGACTTTGCAGTTGAGGTGGCAGTTAAATGCAGCTCAACCTCCTATGTTTAGTACCCCCAGCCACATGTGTAATCTGCTATAGCAGCTGGTAGTTTGTTTTCATTTTTCTCCCAGTTTTCTGGTAGAATTGACAGCGCTTTGCTCACTTTTGCCCTATACATCCCTATATATCCTAGGCTTACCTGTCCCTCTTGGGTGCCGCAGACTTCCATAGTGAGTGTTATGATGAAGAGCTGTGGGAGATCAGAGAACATCCCTTTGCTGATCTCCACTGTGAAATATAATATATCAATTTCAGAGCTGTTAAATCTCAGTTGGGTTCAAATGACCCTTGGGTTATTTGGGTTCAAATGACCCTTGATGCATCCTTAAAGTATAACTAAGATAGAGTGCATAGGGATTAGAACACCTGCCAGTTTGCATTGCTATCTGTGCTTCTGTTATTGAGATATACCCTCTGTATTGGCCTGTTTTCTATTATCATCGGATGCGAAAGTAAAAGAAACATTTTGGACTGACACCAGAACAGTACTAGAGGGAAAATATTCCATTGGGGACATTAGTCCTGGTGACTCTGCTGCCATCTGAGTATTCCCTCACTTTAGAGGGATTTTTTCTTCCTTCCTGTTGTAGCTATGGGACAGAAAGTAAAGGGAATCTCCCCAATGGGATACAGATGAAAAAAAAACTGATATACCTTCTTTGCTCTATCCAAAAAAAAAATAGTTATGCTTTTAGTTCTACTTCAAAGCCTAAATGCAGCCAAAAAAAAAAAAAAAACAGAACAAGGGACATAGTCTACAGTCAGTAGGATGTGCTCTTGTACTGACGACTCTTCTTCCATGTAGTCTGTGGTGCGCCCACTTGCTGCTGGTTGTGAGTGAGGATGTAAGTGCATCTGCACTTGTCAACACAAGCATTTCTCCCTCTCCTTGGCTGCCAGTGAAGAGGAGAGAGAAGACATAGGACACAGTTTAAGGCTGTGTTTGCATTACCATAAAGCCAGAAGAGAGCCTGTCCACTGCCCTATAGTGCAGAGAGCATTGTGACTGGCTGCTGTGCAGCCTGGGAGCACAGAGCACTTCGGTGGACCCCCTGGAATTGTGGAGGAATTGTGGAGGATGTAGTCCCCAGAGAAAGATTTCTATTGAACCATGGACTTGAACTATGGACTTCTTTTCCATCAGGACAAGAAGCTGGGAGGGGTAAAAGGAGAGTTCTAGAGCAGGTGGGAGTCATATGGGGGACAGTGAAGGTAAATATATGGGTGACAGAGCTGCCTCCTGGAGGGTCCTTCAAAGTATTGGGAATACTGAGAAACTGCTGCTGACAGGTCAGTGAGAGATCGTTATCGCAAATTCCTGAGTTGCAGCTAATGAGTCCAGATGGAGAGCGTTAGGAGGTGAAATCCCAGAATAATAGGTGGTGTGAGGCCGTTGGCTACAAATACGTGCCCACTTATTTTTAGGATACAGTTTGGGCACTTACACCTTTAGGGATCTACTCAAGTCTGAGTGCTCCAACGCCAGAACTTTGGCGTCCAAGGATTACCAACAGACTGGCGGGGGGGGGGGGGGGGGGGGAGTGTTTGTAGAAACTAACGCACCTTTAGTTCCCAGTACCACTGCTTGGTTAGGATCTCCCTGATTTTAGGGTTTGGAAAAGAGACATTAGGTCCTCCTGTTGATTGTAGTGTTATATAATATTGGCACAACTAAATATTCCTTCTTTAGCCTCAGTGTGTTAGAGGGTGTGCAATTAAAGGGGGTAAATGTCACATTTCATTGAAACCCTCTTCTGTCCTTTAGTTATACTTTAATCCCCACTGCACTGGAAGATTACTATGGTAGGGGTAAGGGAACATGGATGGGTGGATTCCAATTAAAAGAAGAGGTTTCAACACAAAGGATCCATCCTATAAAAGTGTTGCTAAACCCATGACTCTGCATTCACTATATCTGGTCTTCTACAGTACACATACCATGGAAATGCAATTATTTTAGTAAATATAAACTGCTAAATACATTTTCTCATCAGCAGTTAGAGCAGTCTTGTGACTTCTATCAGTGTCCAGCAGAGCACTGGTTAAAGCTTGTAGGAGGAGTTTTCTTTCTGCTCTAGGAGGATGCAGAACCCCTGACCTCTATCTGGACAGAGTTCATTGGCCCTGTGCTGACCACATGCATCCTAACAAGAAAAAAAAAACGTCTCTAGCAATACACACCAAACTGAGCATGTACAGAGTGCCTCCACATGATATGTCTTATCAGGAGATAAGAGGGAGACACTGGAAGAAGGGGAGGATCAGAGAAGTTAGGATCAAACAGCATTTTTACACAAGGCTTTTTTTTTCACTAGTAATGTCGGTGATCAGCAACTTATAGTGGGACTGTGGGTCTGCGGGACTGCGTCGGACATTCTGACACTAAGGGGAACTGACTTGGTGTCACTGACATCCCTAGTGACACCAATACAGTGATCAGTGCTAATGAAAAGCACTGACACTGTACTAATGGCACTGGGCAGGATGGGGTTAACATCTGGGGCAATCAAAGGGTTAACTGTGTGATGTGTGCTGTTTTACACTGTGTGGCTGTGTTTGTGCTTCACTTTAAGCATACTGCTTTGCTCAAATGAAAGCTCAAATAAATTCCCCAAATGAAAAAGGAGGAAGCAGCTGCCGTGGCAAGGTTGAAATTTCTCAAACAAGCAGTAGGAGAAAGTAACAATCCAGATTGCTTTGTCACAACAGAACAAAAATATCTGGATGAATGCACCAGTGAATACATTTTAACCACTTGACCTCCAGAGGATTTACCCCCCTTAATGACCAGGCCTCTTTTTGCTACTTGGCGCTACACTAATTCAATTGATAATTGCGCAGTCATGCAATGCTGCACCCAAACGAAATTTACATCCTTTTTTTCACACAAATAGAGCTTTCTTTTGGCGGTATTTGATCACCTGTGCGCTTTTTATTTTTCACACTATAAACAAAAAAAGGCCAAACATTTTGAAGAAAAACAATATTTTTTACTTTCAGCTATAAAAAATATATAGTAAACTCAAAGTTGGTTATAAATTTAGGCCAAAATGTATTCTGCTACATGTTTTCGGTAAAAGAAATCCCAATAAGTGTATATTGATTGCTTTGTGTGAAAGTTATAGCGTCTACAAACTATGGTATAGATACTGCAATTTACGCCATTTTTTTGCTATACAGCGCTGCGCTAGTTTAACGGACAATTGCGCGGTCATGCAATATGGTACATAAATGTACATGCTTTTTTTTCCCACAAATTGAGCTTTCTTTTGGTGGTATTTGATCACCTGTGCGTTTTTTATTTTTTGCGCTATAAAAAAACAGGCTGACAATTTTGAGGAAAAAAAACTATATTTTGGACTTTTTGCTATAAAACATGTCTAGTAAAAAAAAAAATTAAAAATCAAATTTAGTCATAAATTTCTGCCAAAATGTATTCTGTGACATGTCTTTGCTAAAAAAAAAAACCCAATACGTGTAAATTAATTGGTTTACGTGAAAGTTATAGCGTTTACAAATGGCGGGAAAGATACTGGGATTTTTAAAGTTTTTTTTATACTAATAATGGCGGCGATCAGCGACTTATGGCGGCGATCAGTGATTTATGATGGCAATCAGCGACTTATGGCGGAACTGCGGGACTGCGGCGGACATTCTGACATTGGGGGGTACTGACTTGGGGTCACTGACATCCCCAGTGACACCAATACAGTGATCAGTGCAAAAAAAAAAAACACTGACACTGTACTAATGGCACTGGGGAGGAAGGGGTTAAGTTTATTTTTCAGGGAAAGGGTTAACTGTGTGAGGGGAGTGTTTTACTAGGGGCGGGGGTGTGTACTGGAGGGAACACCGCTAATCGGGAGAGAAAAACTCTTCTGTCCCGATCAGCTTGTCCTGGAGCTGTCAGGGAACTGACAGAAAGCACAGCTACTGCAGCTGTGCTCTCTGTCAGCGATTGCCGCCGATCGCCGGGACATAGCCGGTTACGACCGGCTGTGACCCGGCGACTGACATCCGCGGCTGTGATCGGCGGCGCGTACCTGTTTACAAAACGCACATTTTAAAACGTGCTTTTGTCCAGCCATGACGCCCTGCCGCCCTATTTATACAGTGGCTGGGCGGCATGTGGTTAAAGTGGTTGTAAACCCTTACATGTACGCAGTGAAGCGACTGGTCTCAGGTCACTTTTCGACCATGCAATTCCTGTACGGTTCCTGCAAATGTGATTGCATCCTGATCAGGTTGCAGGATGAGATGCATGGGGATGCCATTCAGAATGAATTATACTCACCCACGACTCGCAAAAGAAATGCGATATGGCTGCAAGTGGTTGCAGTCTGCGGGCTAGTGTGAACCTTGCCTAACTGAGACAAATGCACACTATAGA